AAACAAGAAAGTTCTCAAGTACACAACCTACACCTACACACCTACACAACCCTACACCTAAAGGAGCTGGAGAAGGAACAGCAGAGAAAGCCTAAACCCAGCAGGCGAAGAGAAATAATAAAGATCAGAACAGAAATCAATGAAATAGAAACCAAAAGAACAGTAGAACAAATCAATGAAACTAGGAGGTGGTTCTTTGAAAGAACTAATAAGATTGATAAACCCCTGGCCAGACTTTTCAAAAAGAAAAGAGAAAGGACCCAAATTAATTAAAATCATGAATGAAAGAGGAGAGATCACAACCAACACCGAAGAAATATAAACAATTATAAGAACATATTATGGGCAACTATATGCCAGCAAATTTGACAATATGGAAGAAATGGATACATTCCTAGAGACATAGAAACTACCAACATTGAACCAGGAAGAAACAAAACCTGAACAGACCCATAACCAGTCTGATTCTGATTGAAGCAGCCATCAAAAATTTCCCAACAAACAAGAGCCCAGGGCCAGATGGCTTCCCAGGGAATTCTACCGAACATTTAAAGAAGAATTAATACCTAGTCTCCTGAAACTGTTCCAAAAAGTAGAAATGGAAGGAAAACTTGCAAACTCATTTGATGAGGCCAGCATTACCTTGATCCCAAAACCAGACAAAGACCCCATCAAAAAGGAGAATTACAGGGCGCCTGGGTGGCTCAGTGGGTTAAAGCCTCTGCCTTCGGCTCAGGTCATGATCCCAGGGTCCTGGGATCAAGCCCCACATCGGGCTCTCTGCTCAGCGGGGAACCTGCTTCCGCCTCTCTCTGACTGCCTCTCTGCCTACTTGTAATCTCTGTCAAATAAATAAATAAAATCTTTAAAAAAAAAAAAAAAAAAGAATTACAGACCAATATCCTTCATGAACACAGACGCAAAAATTCTCACCAAAATACTAGCCAATAGGATCCAATAGTACATTAAAAGGATTATTCGCCATGACCAAGTGGGACTTCTTCCTGGGCTGCAAGGTTAGTTCAACATCCGCAAATCAATCGATGTGATACAATACATTAGTAAAAGAAAGAACAAGAACCATATGATACTCTCAATAGATGCAAAAATGTATTTGACAAAGTACAGCATCCTTTCTTGATCAAAACTCTTCATGGTGTAGGCATAGAGAGTACATACCTCAGCATCATCAAAGCCATCTATGAAAAACCCACAGAGAATATCATTCTCAATGGGGAAAAACTGAAAGCTTTCCCCTAAGATCAGGAACATGGCAGGGATGTCCACTATCACTACTGCTATTCAACATAGTACTAGAAGTCCTAGCCTCAGCAATCAGACAACAAAAAGAAATAAAAGGCATCTGAATTGGCAAAGAAGTCAAACTCTCATTCTTTGCCGATGATATGATACTTTATGTGGAAAACCCAAAAGACTCCACTCCAAAACTGCTAGAACTCATACAGGAATTCAGTAAAGTGTCAGGATATAAAATCAATACACAGAAATCAGTTGCATATCTATACATAAACAGCAAGACAGGAGAAAGAGAAATTAAGGAATCAATCCCATTTACAATTGCACCCAAAACCATAAGATACTTAGGAATAAACCTAACTAAAGAGGCAAAAAATCTATACTCATAAAACTATAAAGTGCTCATGAAAGAAATTGAGGAAGACACAAAGAAATGGAAAAACGTTCCATGCTCATGGGCTGGAAGAACAAATATTGTGAGAATGTCTATGCTACCTAAAGCAATCTACACATTTAATGCAATCTGTATCAAAATACCATCAATTTAAAAACAAAAAAATTTTAGGGTCTAATAGAATATTCCAAGGGTGAAAAACAAAACAAAACAAAATACCATCAATTTTTTTCAAAGAAATGGAACAAACAATCCTAAAATTCATATGAAACCAGAAAAGACCCCGAATAGCCTGAGGAATGTTGAAAAAGAAAACCAATGTTGGCGGCATCAAAATCCCAGACTTCAGGCTCTATTACAAAGCTGTCATCATCAAGACAGCAGGGTACTGGCACTAAAACAGACACGTAGATCAATGGAACAGACTAGAGAGCCTAGAAATAGACCCTCAACTCTATGGTCAACTAATCTTCAACAAAGCAGGAAGAATGTCCAATGGAAAAAAGACAGTCTCTTCAACAAATGGTGTTGGGAAAATTGGACAGCCACATGCAGAAGAATAAAACTGGACCACTTCCTTACACCACACACAAAAATAGGCTCAAAATGGATGAAAGACCTCAATGTGAGACAGGAATTCATCAAAATCCTTGAGGAGAACAGAGGCAGCAACCTCTCCGACCTCAGCCACAGCAACTTCTTCCTAGAAATATCACCAAAGGCAGGGAAACAAGGGCAAAAATGAACTATTGGGACTTCATCAAGATCAAAAGCTTTTGCACAGCAAAGGAAACAGTCAACAAAGCCAAAAGACAACTGACAGAATGGGAGAAAATATTTGCAAATGACATATCGAGTAAAGAGCTAGTATCCAAAACCTAAAAAGAACTTACCAAACTCAACACCCAAAGAACAAATAATCCAATCAAGAAATGGGCAGAAGACATCCAAATTGCCAAAAGACACATGAAAAAGTGCTCAACGTCACTTGGCATCAGAGAAATACAAATCAAAACCACAGTGTGATACCACCTCACACCAGACAGAATGGCTAAAATTAACAAGTCGGGAAACGACAGATACTGGTGAGGAAGTGGAGAAAGGGGAACCCTCCTACACTGTTGGTGGGAATGCAAGCTGGTGCAGCCACTCTGGAAAACAGTATGGAGGCTCCTCAAAAAGTTGAAAATAGAGCTACCCTATGACTCAGCAATCGCACTACCGAGTATTAACCCTAAAGATACGAAGGGGCACGTACACACAGATGTTTATAGCAGCAATGTCCACAATAGCCAAACTAGGGAGAGAACCTAGATTCCATCAACAGATGAATGGATAAAGAAGATGTGGTATGTATATACAATGGAATACCATGCAGCCATCAAAAGAAATGAAATCCTGCCATTTGCAACAACATGGATGGAACCAGAGGGTACCATGCTGAGCGAAATAAGTCAATCAAAGACAATCACCATATGATCTATCTGATATGAGGAATATGAGAGGCAGGGTGAGGGGTTTGCTGGTAGGGAAAGAAAAAATAAAACAAGATGGGATCAGGAGGGAGACAAACCGTAAGAGACTCTTAATCTCATGAAACAAACTGAGGGTTGCTGGGGGTGGGAGGTTGGGATAGTGGCTGGGTTATGGACACTGGGGAGGGTATGTACTATGATGAGTGCTGTGAAATGTGTAAGCATGATGATTCACAGACCTGTATCCCTGGGGCAAATAATACATGTTAATTTAAAAAAAAAAAAGGCAAGATTAAGGATGGAAGTTCACATATAACCACGGCTTTAAGGCAGTTTACCTACACGGAACCCCAGAATCAAGCACACATCCCCACTGAGGTGAAGCTGTGCCAGGCTCCCTGACTGGTACACTGATGCCCACTGAAATGGAGGTGACAGGCCCATAGGTGTAAACCAGATCCCCATGTCAGGACAGCACGGTACACCCTGGACAAGAACACACCCAACCTATGGACCCTGGTCCCTCTGAGAGCAGGGTGTGAGGGCATTTCACTGTAGAACACACTAGACATAGCATCTTAGGCAATTTCTTCAGGATAACTATGAGGCTTAAATAAAACACTGCACACCAAGGCCTGAGCACATCGCCTCACACCCAGCAATGCTAGTATTTAATAAATGTTATTGTCTTATGTTTCAATCATAGTCCAGTTTTTATGACGGGTACATATTTGCTTCTGTGATATATAAAACCGGCTGACTTCCTCACAGTGGTCCTGAATGTTCACTGACAGACATGAGAACACTATGAAAAGTGTAAATACCGAGCCAAGATCTAAAAAGTACTAAATAGTACACGTTTTTATATAAAAACCATTCTTGGAGGGAAGTTGATAGCCTAAAATATTTTTAAAGGAAAAAAAGGGGGGGGAGGTAAAGACTCTTAATTAAAAATGATCAACCGAGCCCAAAAATTCATCTCCTATTCCTCCCAAACTCCCACTAAAATGACAGAAAAGCAGCAGAATAAAAGAGTTAAACACCCACGAGAAAAAAGAATGGATAAGGGACATAGCTAATAAGAGATTCAAACACATACTAGAAAACTGCCAACAAAGGGAGGTCTGCTAAGGCAGGCCCTGCTCTCTCCTGTATTTAATGACTGAACTTTCATTCTGTAAAAAATCAGAGACAGACAGTGCCCTGACTGTCCCTCCCACTACCGATTCCCTGGTCCCTAGTTAAGTGAGGCCAACAAGGGGAGAGGCAACATCTCCTGGGGCCTCTGCGGACATGTGTCCCAGCCCCTTAGCCTTTCCACTGGGTTGGGGGTCAGAGCTAATACACAGGGCGTCCACCCCCATTCCTGCCCAACAATCTCCTTTCCAGATTGGAAATCAGAACCGAAAAACATGGTGTGGTTTGCTCCAGCTCAGTGCAGCTGGGAGTAAAGCCCCGCTGAGACCCCGGCCAGTCCCGCATTCCCCATACTCCCCACTCAAAGCCACCCACCACCAGCTCATCCCTAAACCTGATGGTATCAGAACATAATAAACATACAACTTCTTGCGCTTTTACAGGTGCTGAGGCAGAGGGGAAGTAGGACACCGAGTGAAAGGCCACACACAGAGCCCTCACAATCCCGTCTCCTTACAGCACAGTGCTTTCCTCCTCCTTCTTCCTGCAGGACTGTGGTCCGTTTTGAGCATATCAGAGGTGCTGCGAGGACGGCACATCCATCTCCATGTACTGCTCCAGAATCCGCAGAGCCTGCCCTGCCCCCCCCCCACCTCCCCAACCCCCGCCAACAGATACCCTTCAAAGCCTGAGGAGCAGCCACTGCTCCACCCCACAAACAAAGAAAGCAAAAGGAGTAGGATTCAGTAAACAATTGTTTAATAGAAACCATTCACTGACTATAAATGATTCTATACAAAATAAATCTTTGTTTGTCACACCCACCACAGGAGGTGACCAAATGCATTAGGTGAAGTTACCTAAAAGGCATTTGCAAACTGTTTAGAATCTCATCAGAGGCCTGCAGAATCTTTAGCTCTTCTGTCCACAATGTTTCTACCAAAGTTAGTTGGTTTATCAAAGCCACTTCTTCATCTTTCATATGAGAAACCTGGAAAGTATTTTAAAATTAATTTTTTACTGTAGTAAAATATAAACAAACATAAAATTTACCATTATGACCACTTTTCCGTGTACAGTTCAATGGCATTAAATACACTCTAAGTGTTATTTAACTGTCACCATTAAGTGTCCCCAGGATTCCTTCACCGTCTCTAACAGAAACTTTGCACCCATTACACACAAACCCCATTCCCCTCACCCCCAGCCTCTGGTAACCTCTACTCTACTTTCTGTCTCTATGAATTTGCCTATGCTGGACAGTGGAATCATACAACATTCGTCTTCTTGTATTCTGGTTTATTTTACTTAGCATTATGTCTTGAAGGTTCATTAAAATTATTTTTCAATCCCAGTAATGTTTTCATTAAAATGAGCTGGTTTCTCAGGGCACCTGGGTGGCTCAGTTGGTAAAACAACTGCCTGCCTTCAGCTTAGATCATGATCCCAGGGTCCTGGGATCAAGCCCCAATGGGGCTCCCTGCTCAGCAGGGAGTCTGCTTCTCCCTCTGCCCCTCCCCCTGCTCATTCTCTCTCTCCCTATCTCAAATAAATAAAATCTTTTTTAAAAAAGATTTTTTAAAATCTTTTAAAATTAAAATAAATTTAAATTTAAAATTAAAATGAAATCTTTTTGAAAAAATATTTCCCATTTAATGAAAACAACTATTAAATAGAAATATTTTAAAAAGTACTTGAAAATTCATGCAATAATTTTACCTACTGAATCTATATGCACAATGTTAACAGTCAAAAAACCCAGAAATTACATCAACATTCATCTATTTAAGGCATCAAAAGAATCCAATATTCTAGAAACTTACCTTTTGCAGCATAGCATTGGTTTCCTCTATGAAATAATGACATATTTTCTGGGCTATGACCAAACTTCTCTTCTCATTTGTATCTGAAATGATGTCCCCAAGAAGTATTTTTTTCCAGCATGTACTAAAACCAAATTGTTCAGTAAGATAATGTCAGCAGGCTCTCAAAAGGTAAAGAAGGCTTTTTACATTTCAACATAACTCTTCTCCTATTTTTCCAGAAGCATAATCAACTCATTCCATTAGCACATTCCCTGAAAGCTCCTACCACATGCAGCTCCTGTTGCAGCAGACAAGGTACAGGAGGAGGAGAAACAACTGATAGTAAGAATCAAGGGGACTGACGCTCTTTGTAGGGAGGGACTGAATCGGATTATCACTGCAATTGTGTCAGGCACATGAGTGAGTGCTGTCATGTCCACCAGGCATGGAAACACAGCTGAAGACAGAAGGTGACTCCCAGACAAAAGGACTAAGGCTGAGGAGCAAAGACAGTAGAACTTTCCTTCTCTTCAAGTGACAGTCTTTTCTAAACTATGGCAAACTGAAGAGGTAAAAGGCTCTGGAGATGGAAAGAGGAATCGACAGTGAAGGCCTTCTGTGCATTTTACACTGTGAAAATATGCAAGAAATGCGCTTCCGGGGGCATGTGGAGCCAACTCCCTTTAGGCAGAGGAGCAGAAGTGTTGCAGGGAAAGCAAGAGGGAGCCACAGCAAGATGCCGAGCCAGACGGGGGCAGAGCCAAAACCGCGTGCTGGCAAGAAGCACTACGCAGAGCGGAAGAGGGTGAAGGAATAAATTCTGGATGCCGAGAGTCCGAAGCAGAATGGCTTAGGAGGGGAAAGATAAGAAAGAAAACTGCCACATCAGAGTGGAAGTATACAGACGTCACTTAGAAATTCAGGACAGCTCATAAACCATGGAAAAGTCTTATAAGTCTTCAGCTTCAGAAACAACAACAGAAACCTCAGGAATAGCTAAGTTCTCAGGAAAGAAAAGAAGGAAGGAAATCACTATATGCCCGGCACAGGGTTTCATATAAAACAATTATCTAATTAACTCTTCACAATTACCTAGTAAAGAAAGCATTTAGTATTCCCATGTTTGACACAAACTAAGAATTGGGAATGGTAAGGAACTCACCCTAGGTGACAAAGCTAAGGAGAGGTAGAACCCGCATGCGAACAACATTCGGCCAAATTGCCACCTGTTCTGCCACATCACCCCAGACCGTTAGGAGTAACTCAAAGAGGGAGGAAAAGAGGCCTCGGGGTGTCCTCTCAGACCTTTTGCCATGAAGGATTTACAGAAGCTTACAAGGGCACGCGCGAGATGAAATACAAGGTTAAGATGAATGGACAGTGAAAACAAGACAAAAGGAAAGGTGAAAGGAGGAAGGGTAAAATAAACCAGGATAAACTGCGTGCCTTAAAATCCTGCATGTCTGGGTAGGCGACATATCTGCCACTGAGTTTTCTAGCAAACAACAGAGAAAACTATCAGATACAGAATCCACAGTGGCTGTAAGATAAAAACACACCATCTGCTGAGAATAAACACAACTATTTCTGGGGTTGAGATGAGGAAGTAATTTTTTCTCTGAGTCCTTATAGCAGAAGAGGTAAGCATTATCCCGACAGGAGCTACTCAACGAGCACCAAATACTTCGAGGCATTGTTCCAAGGGCTAACTCTATGCATTAGCTCCTTTGGTCCTCCCAACTGCTGGAGGATGGGGTCAGTATCCTCAGCAACTCCTCCCTTCCTATGGTTCCTCTCATGTGAGCCTTTGCTAAGCAATGCACCCAGGCTGAAGGAAGTCCCTGCACTGGGCAGTGGACAGTCCTTTCCATGCTGGGGGAGGGACCGGCAGCCTCAAGGTAACACTAAGGAGCCTAACCAAGACGTGTGTCTCCACCCGGGGTTCCCCTCTACCTGCCTTCCCCACGGAAATTTCCAGGCCTCTCCTTTAGCAGGGGGCTGGATCTGCGCACGGGGGCAGAACCAGAGGGGAGGAGCTGTTTGCCCCAAAGAAAAAACTACCTACTCCGGCCTTCCCTTTGAACAGTGCCAAGGCTCACATTTTTTAAAATATTTACTCTAGGAAAAGAAATATACATATTTACTCTAGGGTTTCCTGGGGGGTTCGGTCAGTTGGGCATCTGACTGTTGACTTCAGCTCAGGTCGTGCATGATCTCAGCATCCTGAGCTGAAGCTTGTGTGGGGGTCCACGCTGAGCACAGAGCTTGCTTGACATTCTCTCTCCCCCTCTCCTTCTGCTCCTCCCCCACTCGCATGTCACATGAGCATTCTCCCTCTCAAATAAATAAATAAATAAAATCTTTAAAAAAAAAAAAAAAAATCGACTCTAAACAACTGCAGGTCACCAGGGAAAAAAATACCTGAAAATAAAAAGTTCTCAGGGTCATGTACTCTGATTTCGACTCTAAAACCAGATTCCAGAAGTGGTAAAAACTTAGAAGTAAAATGCTCAGGACACGGGCAAGTTCCATAAAGAATAAGCCTCCCGTTATACAATGGCATCCTTTCTCCTCCCAGGCGGGGTATTTGAATGTAAGCTGAGAGAGGCCCCAAGGTTACATACAGGTTGTAACTACAGCTCAAAACCAACACAACGACACTTACAATTCTTCGGCCTCCAGACATAACAACTTAAGAGCTGTGAGTAACCTCCAAGATGGTCCATCCCATCCAAATGTTAAATTTCTAAAGCATAAAAACAAATAACAACACACCGGTCACTTCAGTACTTCACGACACCATGGCAAATGGCTGAAGAGCCAAACACTTTCTGAAGGGCTAAACATTATGTAACTTGTGTCTTGGTCACAAAGGCAAAAGAGAAAAATAAGTCTGCAAATACTTAAGAACAAAGCCAGAGCAGGGAAAAAAAAAATCATTTCTGTTTAAAAAGAAAATGTAGGGACGCCTGGGTGGCTCAGTGAGTTAAGCCTCTGCCTTAGGCTCGGGTCAGGATCTCAAGGTCCTGGGATAGAGCCCCGCATCGGGCTCTCTGCTCAGCAGGGAGCCTACTTTCCCCTCTCTCTCTCTGCCTGCTGCTCTGCCTACTTGTGATTTCTCTGTCAAATAAATAAAATCTTAAAAAAAAAAAAATAAAAGGGGCGCTGGGGTGGCTCAGGTGATTAAAGGTCTGCCTTCAGCCCAGGTCATGATCCCGGGGAGTCCTGGGATCAAGCCTTACATCGGCGTGCTCCCTGCTTAGTGGAGAGCCTGCCCCTCCCTCTGCTCCCTCTCCCTCTCTCCCTCTCAAATAAGTCTTTAAATTAAAAAAAAAGGCAGGGGGGGGATTAAAAAACAACTTTCCCACTAATTTCAGTAAGGAGCTAAATCTGGTTGAGGAAGCCAGAGGAAGAGGGCCAGTGCCACAGGTCCCAGTGAGATGAAAGATGAAGAATCAGAGCTCCCTGGGCATCAAACAAATGGCAGCCACCACAGCCAGAGTGCCCTCACAATGCTGCTGGACCATGTAAAACTTCATTTTATTTAGAGAAGAAAATTTGAGAGAGTCTCCACTTGGCATGGAATCACCCAGCCAGCACCCCCAGTCCTGCACCCTAAGTGCCTACACCATGTTACTGAGTGACTGACAGAGAGCCAGCCTGGCCTGCAGGAGCCCAATGCCATCCCACTGACCACGTATTGGAGACAAACACCGGGCTACCAATCCATACAAGCAGGGCTTTCTTTTAGTACAATAATACTTCAAGTTTGTATCTTATGTCCCCAAGTAAGTTTCTTGAAAAGTATCTTAAACTTTTTGTGTGCCCCACATGAAGCACAATTTACTACACATAGTAAATGCTCAATAAATACCTACGTGTCAACTGGTATAGTCAGGAGGTATCTTGTATCTCTAGAAATGCTACCTCAATTTTCTTACCAGTTTCCTGAAGAAATAATTTTAAGAGACAGAGAAAAATACTTACTCTATAAAGTCATGATCCTTCAAAATGGAAATCTTCTTGTTCATTTGTTTATCTGTTGATGGCAGATATTTAACAAGTAGTTCTACAAAAAGAAAAAAAAAAGGAAACAGAAAAAGAAGGAAATTTAGGGTGTCATCAGACAAAAGTGTGGGCCTTCTACAATTACTTTCCCTTCCATCAACAATCAAGACATGCAATGTGTGTTGTGCATTAACTGATGAATCATTGAACACTACATCAAAAACTAATGATGTATTACACAGTGGCTAACTGAACATAATTTTTAAAAGAGTAAAATAAAAATTAAAAAAAAAAAAAAGACGTGTAAACAGTTTTTCCTAATTCACACCAAAAAGCTCCAATCAAGTCCAATTCAAGATCTTTATTAGCCCCTGGAAAGCTACAGAATTTCAGGGCAGGGAGGAAAACATCCATAACCTCAACACACGTTCCCACTAAGCAAATTAATCCACAAAACCTGGTAATTAAGACAGTGGCAGATGCAGGAAGTTAAACCCACTACCCACTACAAACATGAAGAATTGTTTATAATGATGTTTCCAAAAGTCAGAATTCGAAACTGGGTATTAGTGATTATAATCATAAGCAATTAAAAGTGAACATGAAAAATTTAACAAATCTTGTTGAGATAGCAGGGTAATGACTGACTTTTCTGTTTCTAAAATCTCTTTTATATTTCTATGTCTTGGTTTTTTAAATGTAAAAATAACTAAAATGTAAATTTTGTCCAAACTTTGCAAATCAGTATTTCATGGTCAACAATATTAAAATTATTCTGATAACAGGAGGCTAATCTCAAAGCTAGTTGTCTAAGAGACCCAGCAAGGCCCAGTTTTTGGTTTTAATTTCTATTTGAGAAATAACATTATTATTCTGCCTATAGGATGGAGTAGTTTCACCTTGAACAAGTTTCTACTTTATACAGCTTATATTAAAACTACCCCAAATTATACAGTCAGTAAATCTCTGGCCATATTCCTCGATGGCCTACAAACTACTCCTCTGCTGCTTCAGGAGAAGTGGGAAAGAAACATTTTTCTATATACTGTTATTAATACTATATTTGGAATTTCCACAGCATTAATTTAACAGCTAAATTCTTATTTTAAAAATAGTAATACTGGTGATGGCTAATTAGTAGGTCACAGAAAAACATAAATGAAATCAATATTTCATCATGGCATTAACCTCCAAGACAATAACTATGTAATATATTTATCCCTGTCATAGCACCTCATACAAACTGATAAGAAGAGATACTACACATGATCTTAGCCAAAAGACCAAAAAGCAATCACACAGTAAATGCTTAAATTTAATTTTTTAAGTTTTTTGTTTCTCTAATCTATCCTGTATTTAGTGACAGTGATAATGTCTCAGAACAAAAGTTACCATTTCTTCCCATCTTTTTAATTATTAAAATATTATATTACTGGGGCGCCTGGGTGGCTCGGTGGGTTAAGCCACTGCCTTCGGCTCAGGTCATGATCCCAGGTCCTGGGTTCAAGCCCCGCATCGGGCTTTCTGCTCAGCAGGGAGCCTGCTTCCTCCTCTCTCTCTGCCTGCTTGTGATTTCTCTCTGTCAAATAAATAAATAAAATCTTTTAAAAAAATAAATAAATAAAAAATAAAAAATAAAATATTATATTACTATATTAGTTGATTAGTAATATTAATATATTATATATTAAATGTTATTATTATATTCATTTCCTCAGTGGTCTTTCTTTTCTCCCATTCTACTGTCTGACCTAATGCAACAACTTTTCTCAGTTCTTCCTTTCCTCAGTAGTGACCAGAGCCTTGTTTTTCACTTCAATATTCAAATTATATGGTCAGTGAGTGTCTTTCCCTACCTAGGGGAAAATAAATGATACACATTTTAAGGTTTTGCCATTTTTACTAAAACTTAAAAAAATCCACATCCTCAGATGGCATAAAAAAAAAAAAAGAACTGTATCTTCGTAATAAGAGCAAAGCTGATTCCAACCTGCTGAGACATAAACACAAGCATGAGGATTCTGGATGGACACGAATCCGTATTCCAGGAGCAGCCGCTGGTTATCATGAGGGCCATAGCAGATGAACACCTGTTCATGTTTCCTGCAACCTGAAGCCGTTCTGACTTCATAACAGCGAGTTTTCTCATTAAATGATGCTTTTACCTAGGCAAAAAAATCATTAATGATTTCTTTAAAGCCAAGCATAAAACTGAACATATTAAGTTTGCTGTATTAAAGTCAGATACAGCTTTCAAACACTCATCACAGTGTGAATTCAACCACATGTGGGAACATGCCGGCCCTGCATTGGGGCTCCTGGGTGCCTCCACGTCCCCGCTCAGTGAGGGAGGGGGTCCTGCCCAAGGGCTCTCAGGATGGCCAAACGCAGGACACCTGAAAGCAGACAGGTATGCCAGAGAGTGGTTCACTAGTCACATATACAGCCTAGGTAAGGACACCCCAGCCACACAGGAGCTACGCTTGGGAACTGTGGGACCTGCCGGAGCCACAGGAAGCAGGCCTGGGAGTAACAGGAAGTCACCCCATCTCCTGTGGGGAGATGTGAGCGCTCGTGTGAAGAGGCAGGCAGGAAGGAGAAACCATTAGGCTGAGGGCCGGGTGATGGGGCCTTTCCCTCTGGGTGGGGGGCATATCCAGGGAGATCAGAGGAACTCACAGTCAGACCCCGGGGCCCTGTGACGCCCAAAGATGTCAAGGCCACACATGAATTTCAGGCCTCACAATACACAGCGTTCGGAGAGCAGGATACTGACTGACACAATGATATGGATTTTGTGACAGTTGTTAGTTAACAGATTGCAGAGGAAAGAACCAAGATGACCCACCTGCCCTCCACACAAGGAGCGGGTTCAAGAGTTGAGGTCGCCACACTACACAGTAAACCCCAGTGAGGACAAGGAGGAGGAAGGGAGCTGAAATTCTCAGCTTGTAGCATCAACAGATTAGGGTCACGGTTTCGAGTTACTTGCCAAAAGCCAGCAGTAATGCGCTTTAGACCAAGGGTCAACAATCTTTTTTCCATAAAGGGCCAGCGAGCAAGTATTTTAGGCTCTGCCGGGGCCACTGGGCCACATACCCACAGGCTGTAGTTTGTGGGGCCCCTACAAAGGCTGTCGAGTCACTGGCTTGGAGCACAAACGCACTAACAGCCCAATAAAAATAAAGTCACCCCAGTGAGAACTGACTAAATCCTGTGTCCAGCACCCTTTTACAGGCATGGCCCCGACATTAATTCATCAACATCAGCCACAGAAACAGCCATCAAACCTCCATCTCCTTTGCTGAATATTGTCAGAAATGCATCTTTCTCAACAGTAGCAAGCAGACAGGCAAGATTGCCTCTGCCTGAGAAAGCACAGTACGGGCCTCCCTATGCTCACCTCGCACCAGTACGTGGGCTAGCCGGGGGCCATCCATCTTTTCCAGGCGGGGTGCAGTACGAAGAGAAGAGCGTGAGCAAGGGCCCAGCCAGTGTACCTCTAAACAGACCCTGAACAGATTACAGGTGAGCTGACATAGGGACACCTTTGCCCTCAAAGCCAGGCCCTACCTCAGCATGCCTACACATAAATCGTCACCTTTATGTGAGATAGCGGGAAAGAGCTGGAGACGAGATCTATGACTATCTCCCAAAGAGGGATTCTTTAATGTTTCCCAGACTCCTTTTCCCCACAAATATTCATCCATTCAGTAAAGGTTTATCAAGTCTTTACTAGGTGCCTGACCCTCCACTGGGTTACAGGGAGAAAAAGGCACAGTTCCTCCCCATCCTTATACAGCCCAGAGACAGAGACAACAAGTCAATCACTGATCACAGCAAAGATAAATACTGACAGCGATACTACCAGGTGTAAAAAGGAATGGGACAGGAGAGCAGTCAGGACTTTAGTCCCCATACTAGCAAAGAGGAAAGAGAACTTTGCACCAAAGCTGGGGGGTGAGGGGGTGCTGCTGATTAAGGCTGTATCAGGGGATATAGCTCTGCTGGCCTGGAAAGCAGAGTGGGAAAACAAAAGAACAGGATGCCAGAAAGGAAAAGGGGGCTGGGAGAAAAGACAGAAAAATACCTGGTGGAGGTAGATTTACCTAAAGCCAGCAACACCTCCCTCTATGGTTTCAAAGTCAGGTTCTATATGTCAGAGTCCTTCCTATCAAACAGAACATATTTGCCTTGTGTCTCACCTGGACATCTGGGCTGTGATTCAGCAGATCCAAGTACGGGGCGAGCGCATAGGTGTCCGGCTCTGGAGAAAAGCATTTCCTCTGCCCATGCTTCATGTACACAGCTCTGGTGTTGACCGTGCACCAAGCCCACAGGAGGGCACTGTAGCTAAAAATGTTCTCAACAGCCTCAGAAAACAGAGGCTGCAGGGAAGAGAAAAAGTCTCTGGAGGAAGAAAAGAACCCCTGCACACGGGCTCTCTGCTCTTCAGCCTTTGCCTTCAAAGGTTCAGGAAAAAGATTCACCACTTTTGGCTCCAAACATACGGGGCAGGTGTAGGCCTTTGGTAAAATGTCCAGGTAAGGCTTCCAGAGAGACTGGTCCCCAGCATGCTTTTCTGAAACTAAAAAGGTGCACAGAGCCAGAAGAGGAGATGGAGGAGGCTGGCACCTTTTAAAAAAATACAAGCCGGATTAAAAGAATTACTTTTATTCAAAATATGGAATCAGCTAGAGACACAGGTATCCTAATGGTTTGTTCTGCTCCCAGAGGGACTGTGGCCAAACTGCCAGCGCACGCCGAGCTTACTCCGTGCACCAGGAGAGGGTTTTGCTTCCTCAAGACTTTCCTCTCCAGAGCGCATCCCACTGTAAATGCCCTAAGCAAGTCATACTGATGAGTGACAAGAACTGTCTCACTACCCCAAGTTCCAGCTTTGTTTGCAAGAGAATCCTTTTTGCAAGCAACCTCTTTGTTTCCAACTTGGTTCTCCAATTTTAAAGCTTCTGCTCCAAGTTCACTTATTTTGCTTGGATAAAGGTATCAAACTTGGTGGGGGAAAAAACTGGTGGAAAAGAACCTAGACCTGCCCCATCCAATACAGTAACCACTGGGTACACGTAGTTATTTCAGTTTTAGTTATTCAAAATTAAGTAAAATTTAAAATTCAATTCCTCAGTCATGTAGGTCACTTTTCAAGTGCTCAACAGGCGTTATGTGGCTAACGGCCACCACAGTGGACAACACAGAGTGAAACATTTCTACTGCGAAAGTTCTACTGCGTGACACTAACCTAGATAGAAAACTGAATCACCTCATTATATATTTGCTACAGTTCTAAAGTTTTAATTCCTAAATTTACCCACTCTATTAAAAATTACACACTGCAGTATTTTTATTTGTTATCCATAAAAAGATTTCATGTTGCAGGAATCTTTTAGAAAAAAGTTTTCATTAAACCTTCAAAGTCCAGATTCCCATACTGCGAAAACAGCCTGCTCAAAATTTCAGAATGACACAGAAAATGTTAATACTAGGAGCATCGCTGCTTTTACTCAGGCCAATAAAGATACATTTGCCCTCATAAAAACATGCCAAGATTAAAAGTCCAGAACTTAGACTCTGAGAAGAAACAATACAATCTTACAACCCTCATAATTTAGAAACCCCTTCTGCTACGGACCCCATTCACACTGTCCTCAGAAAGTTCCACAGAACAAAGGCCCACTATAACAAAAGCCAGAAAATAGTTCTCCTATTTTGGCCTCCTTTCTTCTACACTAAACAAAACTACACTTTTGTAACATCAACAGCTCTCCGTAGTGGAAGGAGAGTTGAAGCAAATACAGTAAGGGTGAAAATAAGAGTAACCTGTGGAGAACAGGCTAGGAGGACTCAGGGCACTCAGAATGACAGCGATCTATTCTCTCACTTTCTCTGCATTTCCTAGTAAGTGATAGATGAGGATTCAAACCCACATCCCAGGCAGCCTATTAAAACCCTTAAAAATGCAGCTTAAAATGAATTAAGAACACAACTTCGAGAACAGAGTAAACCTTCTGAATCATTTCAAACATGTATGAGGTATACAAAGGGGCTCATCCTGACAAACTATGCCTTCCTTAGAGGACTTTATCTGCCAATGCTGCAGACTTTACAAGACAAGCACTTGAACCAGACGAGCATGTGTACGTTCACTTACTTAGCAATGTACGTCCCTAAGTAGCTTCTAATCACTGTGTCCGTGGTGAGCAGGCAACTCTCAGGCAACGAAATAATCATCTGTCCCTCCTTACCAAAAAGAAAGTAAAGTTTAGAACACCTGCGTTTGAGAAGGACCTGTGTCCTGCAGTCCACAATTATCTACTAAGAACCCAGAATAACCCGACCATAGACACCAAAGAGCCCACCAACCGTCTGGCTCCCAAGCCCGAGTCGGCGGATGCAGGCAGGTCTGCTCCAACAGCAGGTACTACAACCCCAACAAGAATTAAGGGCTCATTATATGACTGACATCCACTAGCAATCAGCCCTTCACCAGAAAGGAATGTGTAAACACTCTTGACAGATCCTATCACTCCTTCACTTTCTTATACCAGGAAATAGTGTTATAGGAAATAGGCAGAAACCACTCAAAGTAACTCTATCTGGTGAAATCCATGTGTCCAGTGACTCCTCCCAGCAAAGGCCTACTCTCCATACGACCTGTGCCAACTAGACTAAGAAAAGGGCAGCCCAGCCAGCACAAGGGTCTCATTTTACCACCTGCAAAAGTAGAGTTTTCAGTTCCTCCCACTGAGATAGAAACACTAAGAAAAATTAAGATGTCAAGTCACAGACACCAGAAACAAATTAAGCATTAAGAAGCCTGACGTTAATTAAGATCCCAGCTTCCATTGTAATTGGCATCTAAGTTGGTTAAAAAATCTCAGCCAAAAATCTTCTGGGTTCCATTTCTGGTTTCCTCATGTGTGAATCAAGATCAACCTGGACAATCACTACAGTCCCTTCCTGCTCCAACATCGCACAATTTTCTGATTTTAATAAAGCCACTTAATAAAATGTTCTATATCCTGACTACAGTAAAACTCTTGATCAACACTTACCAAACTGGATGCTTAAAATCTGTGCATTTCACCAGGCGTAAAATATGTCTCAGTTTTCAAAAAGTTTAACCAAAGATCATATTTGAAAGATGTGAAGCAACTGCCAATTATCATTTCATAATCTAAACAAAGACTACCTACGTTTACTGCCATATACATGAGAAGTATATCTCCCTCCCAAAACAGAACACGATTATATGTTTCCTCAAAAAATAAAAATATTGTACAATGTGACTGTACTTAATATTATTGAACTGTACACTCTAAAATGGCTAAGATAGTAAATTTCATCATGTATGTTTTAAAATTATAAAGTTTTAGGGGCGCCTGGCTGGCTCAGTCGATTAAGTGGCGGCCCTCATGATTCCAGGGTCCCTGCTTAGCAGAGAGCCTGCTTCCCTCTCTCCCTCGGCTTGCCACCCTGCTTAGTTGTGCTCTCTCTCTGTCAAATTAATAAATAAAATCTTAAAAATAAATAAGTAAAGTTTTAAATTAAAAAAGTAGCCTAAGAGAACTGCAACATTAAAAAGTACCATTCTTTAGGCTCAATGTGTAAGTGCACGGCCGGATTTCAAAGTTAAGGAACTAAAGGGGCACCTGGGTGGCTCAGTGGATTAAAGCCTCTGCCTTCGGCTCAGGTCATGGTCCCAGGGTCCTGGGATCGAGCCCTGAATCGGGCTCTCTGCCCAGTAAGGAGCCTGCTTCCCCCTTTCTCTCTGCCTGCCTCTCTGCCTGCTTGTGATGTGTCTGTCAAATAAATAAATAAAATCTTTAAAAAAAAAAAAAGTTAAGGAACTAAAAATAAATTAAGGAATTCTAGCTTCACAGAAAATTTGCATTAGATATCCTTTAAAAAGCATAGAAAGAACTAAAATGGACCTTGGAGATCATCTATGTCATTTACCTCCTCGTTTTCCAGGTGAGAAAACAAGCCAAGGGGGTCCCACCACCAGCTGAAGATAATCCTGGGACAGGCTCTGAAGCTCTGCCCACTGCTTACTGAGGCTTAAGCTTATTCAGGCTTGTACTTGGCATACTAAGCACACCCTTTCAGATGAGAGCCGCTCCCTCCCCTGGCTTGTTTAAAATATGGTCTGCTTTAGGGACACCCGGGTGACTCAGTGGGTTAAAGCCTCTGCCTTCGGCTTAGGTCATGATCTCGGGGTCCTGGGATTGAGCCCCACATCGGGCTCTCTACTCAGCGGGGAGCCTGCTCCTCCCCGCCCCCGCCTGCCTCTCTGCCTACTTGTGATCTCTGTAAAATAAATAAATAAAATCTTTAAAAATATATATATATATGGTCTGCTTTATACAATTTGCTGTGGCAGAGGTAGCTAGTTGCCAATCCAACATGCCTTCTCTCCTGCCGTTAGTGCAATCCTATCGGGAGGTCACCGTGCAAGGGACCTCTCTCACAGCCAGGGGGACTGTGTACCCAGTCACTGGCAGACGTGATAGGACTGGAATGTTCTTAAAAGAAGGAAACCTGCCCTTCCTCACCCCCTTGTTCCATCTTGCTGTTCAAGCTCCAGGAGCTACTCCCTGGACCTGAGTGTAAGGGACTTCCTTTAGGATGTGGACAGAGAGCTTGAAGGAGTCTGGACCTCCCACGGCCATGGGATCACCACACCAGCCCAGGTCTGCCCAGTCAGGCTTGTTTACTTGAGAACAAAATTAAGTTCCACTCTGTTACTTTGGGTTTGTCTCCTCTATGCAGCAAACTTAAAGCTAACTGACAAAATTATATTCAAACCTATCACTGGGTTAAAAAATGGCTGTGTATCTTAAATATTTTTAATTTACTTGATTTGAATCACAAAAACAAAGCAGCAAAATCTACTTTGGGTTTCAAGGATTAGAGAAATTCTCACCCGCAGGGATGTTTTGCTCATCAGCCCTCTTCCTGTACCTAAGACACAAAGAAAAAAAAAAGGTAAAAATCCTACAATGTCCAAAAAAACAAAAACAAACAAAAAAAAAAAAAACCTTATAATATCTTCAAGATCTTAAGGATATCATTTTAAATAAAAAATGCAACTGAACAGGGGTGCCTCAGTGGCTCGGTCAGTTAAGCATCTGACTCTTGGTTTCAGCTCAGGTCATGATTTCATGGATCATGGGATTGAGCCCCGCGTCAGGCTCTGAGCTCAATGCGGAGTCTGCTTGAAGATCCTCTCCCTCTGTACTCCCCCATCCTGCTCTGGCTCACTCTCTCTCTCTTTCAAATAAGTAAATAAATCGTTTTTAAAAATGCTACTGAACCTCAAAATTACAACAAGCTGAAGACAGACACATGATTTTGGGAAAGAGAAGATCAAAAAGCTGTTCTAAAAATGTCCTGACCTCCTTTTGGGCTTATAACTCCTGAAGAGCCAAGAGTGAAAACCTAGAGATCATCAGCTTTATACAGACCTGCTACCCGGAGTGTTACCCAGTAGGACTGGGTGTCCTTCAAGCTGGACCCTCTCCCTGGGGCCAGCCCGCTGGGCTGGGGGCCTACTCCCAATGCCCACCCAACCTGAGAGGCTAAACCCTCAAACCACTTTTACCCACTACCAAAGCCAGTTTTCCCAGTGATGATCTTGAGGCCTCTTTGACTGGCTGACCAGTAAATCCACCCAGCTCCCGCAAGGCTGAGTGAACTACACCCTCCCCTCCCTGACCATGGAAGCCACTAGACTCTCCTTGACTGGGTGAGCTCAACAGGGGAGATCCAAGACCAGCTCCTCCCTGTGAGCCAAGGCCTCGGCCAGAGCAGTCACAGCACATAACTTCACCAGCTACACTGTCAACACCACTACTGCCCAGAAATTTACCCGTCGAAGCCCAAGCCTCCTTTCCTATAACAGTCAGCAGCTCTTCTGGCAGGCCTAGGTACACTATGACCTATAATTATCATACGGGGTACAGAATATTCACTTTTTCAAATTCACAGTCCTTGATCTTTTTTCTTTCTCTCTCAACTAGGAGGGAACATAATTCAGTAAAGGTCAAGCCCTGCAGGTCTACTGGGAACTCCCAATTCATGGAGGGAACTCCGGCCTTGATCCTGGATCAGGTGTCTGGCAAGTCTGATTTGATGAGTCCTAACTCATCTATCCACCCAGACGAATACTATCTACTCAGACACATGGTTTTGGTTTCAAAAACTTATTTAATTTCTTCCATGTGTCCCATAGCAGAGTTAATCGTTCCTGTGGGCCAGAACCCTTCCTGGAACGAGTTACTAATGGGAGGATTTTATTTCTATGGGGTCATTCTTTAAAAGACTCATGTGCTAAATTAAGTGGAAATTTCTCTTCAAATACATAAATGAACAGAATGTGGCATATGGAATAAATCTGGAAGATACTTCACCTGTATTTCTACAATACAGCATCCAGTATCAGAAAACAAATCACAGTAACCTACACTTACCAAGGCAAGGTAGGAAGTGGCCATTAGAATCCTATAAAAGGAAAACTTATTATAGACTTTCATGCACCTGAAAATTTCTATTATCATAAGTCCACCTCGGAGACCCAGATTTGGCCAGTTCTTTTGGTGGCAAAAAGGAATACTGGGGTCAATTCCCAAAGCATAAATCCTGCTTGCAACTTAGAAATCCTGCCTTGCCCCTCCACAAACTAAGATTAATTCCCCAGAATTTTGTACATTTTGAGAGACTCCCATAAACATTCCCTCCTAACAGATTAAAGCTAAAGGTATATAAAGCATTTAGGGAAGATATGTTGAAATCCCAACCCACCAATGTGATGACATTAGGAGGTAGGGACGTTTGGTAAATGTTTAGGTCATAAGGATAGAGCTTCATGAATGGGATTTAGTGCCTACTACAGCAGTAAGAGACCAGAAAGCTTGTCCAGCTCCCAGCTCTGTGTCATGTGAGCACCCACCTTGAAGATGGTAATTTGCAAATCTGTAATCAGTCCTTACCAGACCCTGAACTTGCCCATACCATGATCTTAGCCTTCCCAGCCCCCAACTGTGAGGAAGGAATTGGTCGTCACCCAGTCTATGGTAATTTATTATAGCAGCCAAAACTGAGTAAGACAGAAGGTTCCCTGACCCCAGAACCAGAACTAGTGGGCTATGATCATTACCAAACCATGGTACGTTAGCTGCTCTGTGACCATGAATCTGGAGGTGGGCCTGGAAAGAGTTGTTCCATTAAAAATGGTTAAGTCTTCATTGCTCCAAATTACAGACAGATTATTTCTTTTCAGGCATTCCACTTAGACATATGCTAGTCCCTGCTTGATCATTTTAATCCTATCCTTCTTAAGTCAAAGTGACACGTGAGGCATAGATCAGCCAAAGGCATAAGTCCACTCCTGACTCTATTTTCTCTAGACCACCTTGTGTAAAACACCATCCAGTAAAATCTACCAGTGTGGCTTTTCCTGTTTTTGTGCTTCCTGACACATAAAAACAGAAAGTTAAACATTCTGTTAGAGGCTGACAAAAATAGTTTACCATTTTAAATAGGAGCAGCTCTAACAAATAATGGCTCGAAGCAAGTGTTTTAGGCCAAAGTCATCATAATGCATAC